GGGGGGAGGGGAGAGGGGGGAGGGGACTGACGAGGATAGAGGGGGCGTACAGAGGGTGAGCCTCTGGGAGACGACGACCTGGACGACCTCATGGCCGAGCTGGAGATCGAGGTGGAGGAGGAGGTAGCGGCGGAAGCTGATGCTGCCGCCAAGGCCAAGGCTGAGGCTGATGCTGCCGCCAAGGCCAAAGCTGAGGCCGATGCTGCCGCCAAGGCCAAGGCTGAGGCTGATGCTGCCGCCAAGGCCAAGGCTGAGGCTGAGGCTGCCGCCAAGGCCAAGGCTGAGGCTGAGGCTGCCACCAAGGCCAAGTCTGAGGCCGAGGCCGATGCTGCCGCCAAGGCTAATACTCCCTCCCAGCCCCACGCCGCACACCAGACGCGTTCCACTCCCGTCAGTCGGACGGCGGCTGAGCGCGGCGAGATCCCGCTGATGGGGAGAAAGGCGAAGCAGTCGTCGCCGCCGCAATTCGGGGGCAACCACGCCAAGTGCCCAAAGTGCAGCAAGACTGTGTACCCCATCGAAGCGCGCAAGATCAACGACATCCGCTACCACAAGACTTGCGCCCGCTGCGCCGAGTGCGACAAGACTGTCGGAGCCGACTATGTTGTTGCCAACAACCAACTCTACTGCAAGGTCCATGTACCCAAGTCGAGCGCATTGGTCGCGAGCTCGGCACCACCGCCGAGCTCTAGGACTTCTTCTCGCCCTGCATCGGTGGGTGGCTTTGGCGGCGGCGGCTCCAAGTGCCCGACGTGCGCAAAGACCGTGTACAAGCTCGAGGCGCTTAAGATTGACAACGTGGTGTTCCACAAGTCTTGCGTCCGCTGTGCAACATGCGCCAAGGTGCTGAAGAAGGAGACGTACGTCAAGGTCGAGGGCACGTTTTACTGCGAAGGCCATGTGCCCAAGCTCAAGGCTGTAGACGGCGCCACCGGCGAGCGCCCGTCGTTCGAAGCGCCGCCACCGTCAGGCGCTGCCATGTCAGCGGTTGGCGATGAGGTTGCCGCCGCTGTTGACCGCATCGGTGACCACGTGGCGACGTCTGAGGCGCTGCCCAAGTGCCTCGGCTGCCGCGAGCCGATTGACGGCGCACGCACCGCTGCGCTCGGCGGCTCGTTCCATCCGGCTTGCCTCAAGTGCGCCTCGTGCAACATGCCCATCAAAGGTGTTGTCAAGGAGGACCTGAAGGCCCGCAAGGCCTACTGCCTCCCGCACTACCAAGCGTCCGGCGGCGCAGCGGCCAAGACCTACACATGCGTCGCGTGCTCGTCCACCATCCAGGCCGGCGACCGCGTCACGCTCCCGTCGAACAAGGCCTCGTACCACAAGGCATGCTTTGTCTGCTCCAAGTGCTCCGGGCCAATTGCGGGCAGCTCCGCCGACTCGGGCTCGTACGCGCTCGTCGATGGCGCCCCGGTATGCTCCTCGTGCAGTGATCAGGGCGAGTGCCATGGATGCAGCTCACCCATCCGCTCCGCCGTGGTCATGGAGGTCGTCGGCCGCAAGTACCACCCGGCATGCCTCAAATGCTCCGAGTGTGGCACCCGCCTCACCGAGGTCTGCATCCACAACGGCGACATCTACTGCGCGACCCACAATCCCAGCGGTGACAACATGTGTGCCGGGTGCGGCGCCGCCATCCAAGGCACCGCCTCGCGCGCAATCGGCAAGGTCTGGCACCCGGCGTGCCTCGTCTGCCACAGGTGCCAGACTCCTCTCTCTGGCAAGAAGTTCTTCCGCTGCGCCGACGCCGGCGGCGTAGACCAACCATGGTGCGAAAAGCACATTCGAGCCGCAAAGCGCAAGGCTGCCCAGGCTGGGCACTAGCTACCTCAGTAAAAGAGCGCGTCTTTGACTGCCTGGTGGAGCGGGAGCACCGGTCGGCTCTGCTCGTCCGCGGCAACAAGGACGCTCTCCGGCCCGATCTCGCCCTTGCGCACCTTGAGCTCATGGAGGAGGAGTCCGGCCGGGGTCGATGGGACACAGACCTCGGTAGCCGCGCCGCTACGCGCTGCCGCTGCAGCTTCGCCGCGGTTGAGCGCCTCCAGAAGGCCAGCCATCGACGCGTGGAGTGTGGCCGCCACCGACCGCCCGCTACCGCCTGCCGACGCGAGGGTCGGCTTGATAGACCGTAGCGAGTCAGCCACGTCATGAACTAGCGGCAGCGTCCGAGCCACGTCTACCTCATCGCCCTCGGTCTCGCTGTCAAGCAGTCGCTGCAGCGTCTCCATCCGCGACACTAGCGACCGGGCCCGCGGCGGGAGCGCGTCCACCTCGAGCAGCTGTGCCCGCTCACGCTCCTCAGGCTCACCCCACTGCAGGCCCGCGCGTGTCTGTGATGTTCCTGCTCCTGTTGGTATCGCCTGCGCGCCGAGGCTGTGCTCCCGCCGCCGAAGCGCGGAGCCGCTCGATATGTTGAGGCTCACCGATCGTGAGTACGACTCGTCGTCTTCGGACGCCGAGAGTGTCTCCGACCCACCAGTTGGGCTCCATACTCCGTCCGATGGCGCGTGGAACGAGACCCGTGACGCGACTCGCGAGAGCGAGCGGCTCATGCCTGCGCCCGAGCGCGCCAGATGCGCGTGGGCAGCCGCCGAGGCAGACGGTGCTGGTGGGCGGCGCGCGGGCGGCAGCGCGTCACGGGCCAACAGTGGCGGCATCGGCACT